AAAATTTGAAGATTTTTGCAGTGAGCATAGCATTGCAAGAAAGTACACAGTTCCTCAAACTCCACAAACAAAACAGAGTTGCTAAACAGATGAACCGTATGATTATAGATCAAGCAAGAAGCATATTGAGTACAACAAGGTTGGAGCAATGCTTTTGGGCTGAAGTGGTCAATACAGCATACTACCTAGTAAGTCTCTCTCCCACTACAACACTTGATTGCGAAATTCCAAAAGATGTATGGTCAAGAAACCCCACTAATTATTCTTCCCTTTGTACCTTTAGTTTTGATGCTTATGTATGGATTCCTAAGGAGCAGAGGACCAAGCTAAAAGCAAAGTCCAAAAAGTGTACATTTTTTGGCTATGTAGAAGGAACAAAGGGATGCATATTGTGGGATCCTACTGCCCACAAGATGGTCATTAGTCGAGATGTTATCTTTAATGAAAATTTAATGCAAAAAGAAAGTATGCAGTCAGGACTGAAGACAATAGAAAATGTTGAAGTGAAATCTTTTCAAAAGATTTAAGAGCAATGAGATGATGAGACTGTTGTTGAAACTAATGAAGAGCATGGTGAAACACTTGAGAGTGAGACTCATGTTGATGTAACAGCTTATGCTTGCATTATAAAAGAGCGTGAACCATATTCATATCAAGAAGCTTGTGAAAGTCTAGATATTCGTCATTGGAATTGGCTATGAAAGCTTTAAAGAAAAACAATTTGGGAGTTAGTTAAACTACCCAAGAATCGGAAGGCCATTGGTTGCAGATGGGTGTACAAGCTCAAAAAGGACACTAGCGGGAGTATCCAAATATGTAAAGCCCAACCAATTGTAAAAGGATATGCTCAAAAATCAGGTATCGACTTCGACAAAAATATTCTTTCTTGTTGTTCTATTAAATACTATTTGTATTATATTAGGTATGGCTATGGCACTTGACTTGGAGTTGGAGCAACTAGATGTCTTTTTGCATGGTAATCTTGAAGAAATTTATATGACTTAACTTGAAGGCTTTGCCGAAAAGGACAAGAATGATTTAGTTTGTTGGGTAACCAAATCGCTTTACAGTCTAAAGTAGGTGCCAAGGTGTTGGTATAAGCAATTTGATTCCTTTATCATGAGCTTGGGTTTTAGTAAATGTGAAGCGGATTATTGTGCCTATATGGCTATACATACATTGATGATGATCACTTCATCATTTTACTATTATATATTGATGACATGCTAGTTGCAGGTACTAACAAAGAGAGTATCACAACACTGAAAGCTCATTTGGCTAGAGAGTTTAACATGAAAGATCTGGGGGTGGTTAATCAAATTCTTGGGATGATAGTATATAGGGACAGGAAGAATAGGAAAGTTTGGATAACTCAGAGGAGTTATGTCCAAAGGATCTTGCATCACTTCAATATGCAAGAGTCCAAACCAATTAGCATCTCATTTCCTGTTGGTCATAACTTGTCTTTAGCTCAGTCTCTAGCACTGAAGTGGAGAAGGCAGAGATGTCCCATATACCATATTCATTACTAGTAGGCAGCCTTATGTTTGCTATGGTGTGCACCAAACTAGACATCACACAAGTAGTGGAAGCAGTCAATAAGTTCATGGAAAATCCAAGGAGAGATCATTGGACTATAGTAAGGAGGATCCTTCGTTACTTGAAGGGTACATCTGAGCCTTCTATTTGTTATAGTGGCAGGAGATCATGATAATAGAAAGTTAACTACTGGCTATGTGTTCTCTTTAGATGATGGTGTAGTAAGCTGGACATCAAAGTTACAGGTTATAGTGACTTTGTCTACAACAAAAGCAAAGTATATTAGGGATGCAAACGGATCGAATCGGATTCAAATGGGGGTCTATTTGAATTCGATTCGATAAAAAAAATCAAATGATTTGAATTTGAATTCGAATCTGTCAGATTTTGTATTCAGTGGTTCAAATTCGACTCGGACCTTTTCATCGGATATCTGATACAGATCTGATTAGATTCAATTGAGCATTTTCGAATCAAATATCTGATTCGGATATCACCAATTTAACTTGTAACCTATGCATTATCAACAATTTAGCACACTTCTAACCATAAATTTTCACCAATTTAACTTACACTTAACACAAATTTAACCTGTAAAATTTCAGCAATTTAACTTCTTAATTATCAACAATTTAACATTGACTTCTAACATAAATTTAACATAAAAATTTAACTATTTCAGCAATTTAACCTGTGAATTTTTCAACAAATTAACCTATGAATTATCAGCAATTTAACATGTAATTTTCAACAATTTAAGATAAACTTCTAGCACAAATTTAACCTGTAAATTTTTAGAAATTTAACCTATAAATTATCAACAAATTTAGCATTTAATTATAGTACAAATCAAATACACTCATATAAAAACCTCAATGGATAAATAAAATCTGACTAGAACAAACCTAAACGGCTAAACCTATTCCATATGATCAAACTCATAGAAAAGGGAATGGAAAAAATAGAAGAAGGGGGAAGAAAGATTACTGGCGATGCTGTTGAGTCGTGAATGGCTGAATGCAAGGCAACTAACGATTAGTAATGGTCATGATTGGACCAAACGGGTGAACAAAAAGTCGCAACCTATGACTGGTCACCGGCGATGGCGGCATGCAACAACATAATGGCGTGCGGCAGCTAGGGTTCTTCGCCTTCTTCTCACTTTCACTTTTTCAGCTGTTTAGAAGTTAGAAGAGAGGAAGAGTTTAGGGTATTCAGACTCCACTTTTTAGTTTTTACTTTTGTTAGATAGGACCTCATTTTTAAATTTACAATTTTAGACCTATGTGATTAATTAAATTACATTATATTAGACCTATGTGATTAATTAAATTACATTATATTATTTTGAAACAAAATATTAAGATGGGGTATAAATGTCATTTCAAAGCAAATATCTCCCATTTGCGCTTCTTAATCAAACCCATGAAGCTATACTTTTTCTAAGATCTGACGTGTGGGTCTTATATCTTAAACAAACTATTTTAGGGGTTATTCCATAGTGTGAATGATAAATTGGATGGTAATCTCATCCATACTATGCCACAAGTAGAGAAATTCTTTTGTAACGCGGACAAAATAAGTGGAAGTTGGAGCCTAAGTTTCATTCTTGATTAAACAGTGAAGCTAATTAATGGAAAAACTTTAAAACTTGAAAAATGGAATAATTTTTTCTCAGAAAAAAATATATATAGCGACGCAAATCTGCCCAAAAGAAATAAGCATTGTGGATATTATACAAATTAGTGTCGATTGATTGATCCATTCAACAGTGCAAAAGAACACCATAGTCAGAGCAAATATGGGTGCTTTCAGAAACTCAATTAACTAGTAAAATCCCCCACCACAAGTTTCGCTGTTCAAACTTATTTTGTGTCCATAAATTGACTAGGTATTGTATATGCCGGATGACACCCATACTCTTTTATCTTCTGTTAATGGACCGGATATTGATTCAATCCGACCATCACAACAAGATATAATCCAATAAATACTTTTTTTTAAAAAAAAAAAGTCCAATAAATACTTTAAACTATTAAATAAATCTGTTTGTTTTGTTCAACCAAATCAAATTGATTTTGAATTTAATTCGATGAAGTCCAAACCCGGTCCATTGACGCCCCTAACTAGATATTGGGGGTAGCCCATTTCCATTCCCTTAACCCTCTGCAGTCTGCACCTCCCCAAATCCCTGGTGGTAAGTCGGAATTTGGTCGTTGATCTCCGCTACGTGTAACTGTGTAAGAGGGAGGCTGAGTTGAGGATTGGGGTTATAAGGTCAAACCGGTCAATTCCTTTATTCTTTGCTCATTTTGTTGGATTGTTTGAGCAGCAATAGCCGATAGAGACCAGGTGGTCAACACAACAATAACTTGTCCCTGTTCATATAGTTCTACTTTTTAGATGAACCGGTGGGAAATTCATGTTGGGCTCATATATTTCTTTATTCTGGTTTTTACTTTTTAGATGGACCGGTGGTAAATTCATGTTGGGCTCAAGTCTCTTCTCAAAATAATGAACTTAAGGCACAATGCTCAATTTTGGGATAGAAATGATGATTTTGAGACATGCATTTAATTTAACCCGGCCGTATGCCTTCATTAATGACACTGGTCATCATGCTATAACTTTGCCTTAACAAATATACCCCAGCCCCAGCCCCAGCCCCAGGTCCTTATCTGTGCAAATTAATCTTAGGCCTTAACTCTTCTAATTCAATTCAAAGCAAACTACTCAGTTCCTCGGGACCATCCAGATTCCAGAGGTCACTGAAGCTCTCTCTATCTCTATCTGTTAGGGAGGGTCTGCAGCTGGCGGCTATTGAGGAAGGAATCAAGCCTATAGGGTTGGTTGTTAATGCATAACAGATTATTAATTACCTTTTGGACCAATCCTTAGAGGTCCCTTGGCGGCTTCGTTGCTTCATTCATCATACACGTTTGGTGAAAGTGAAACACGCTTCATCTATTTCAATACCAATTACTTATCAGCTTTTCCTACATTTCCATTGACACAAATTCTGTTCATATTTTCCAGCCCTAACCATGATGAAACAACCTTTCACATAAAAAATTGCACCCCTATTACTGTGGTTGAAATTAATTCTTTTGTCATAGCTTTATTTGTAAGGTACGAGAAAAATAAAGGATAATTAGGTAGATAAAAAAACAAACAAAAAGATACCATAAATTAATAGAGGATAATTACGTAAAAAACAACAGTACCATACACGGACTTCTTTTTGTTTAGGGGTGCAATTTAGGTTTGGTTGGATAAGCCCAAACTTAATTTCAATTTGGTAAAAAAAAAAAAAAAAAGAACCCAAAACTTATTTGGGTTTGGATTGTGATTGAGGCAAAAATACTCTTAAAGAAGTCTAGAAGACTCCGATTGGGTTATGCTTGGCCTAAACCCGATCAAACCCGGTCCGATTTGCACTTCTATCCAAATCCCTGAATTTTCTAAAACCATCGTTACATTTCCCAATGCCGGTTTCATTCTGACAACAGGAGAGAGCGGAGACGCCGTCGCGAGAAACGCCGGTGGCTCCGATCTCTCCGCCCTGACGCCCCTCTTCGTCTCCTCTAACATTCCCTTAAACCTCTTTTAGCTCTCTGTGTAATCTGGTAACTCCTCTCTCTCTCTCGTCCTCCCTTTGATTCCCGGCTAACAGTCTCACTCTGAGAAAGGCTTAAAACGCCTCAAGGCTGAAACTCCCCAAAAAATGAGGCGTAGCTGTAGCATTTCTCTCCCAATTCTAGTTGTTCTCTCGGCCATCGCGTACATATATTATACCACCGTCTTTATTTTTATAGAAGGTTGGTTCGGTCTGAGGACATCTCCAGGTCTCATGAACGCCGTTATTTTGACGGTGACGGCGTTCATGTGCATCTTCAACTACGTCATCGCGATCGTGAGGGATCCAGGCCTTGTTCCGGCTACTTTTATGCCAGACATTGAAGATGCAGAAACACCGGTTCATGAGATCAAGAGGAAGGTAAGCACGGCTTCGTTCAGGGTTTTTTTCCATTCCTTTCTCCTTCTCCATTGTTGTTTTGGGGATTCTGTGAGGGGGGTTTCTGTTTTGTGCCGGTATTTATTAACAAGTTTGAATTTTGAGAACTAGGGTTTTCCTTTCTTGCATTCGTGTTTCTGTTTTCTTCACTTTGAGCTTCAACATTTTGGCTGATTCTTCTGTGATCGCTATTGCATTGTTAATCGGAGTTTTAATTCTATTCGCAATGATATGCTCAACTGAATAAATCTAACTAATTTGGACCTTGACATGCAATTTGGCTTGTTAAATCCGCTGTACTAACGGTTGAGCGGATCTCAAATTTTCAATAGAGTCCTGGTATAAGGATTCCCGCGAATTGGTGCATAATCGGTTTACTAATGTTACTTGTTTCTGCAATTGCAACTTTTGAGCCATCACCCATTGGTAGGCTTTGAATGTACTTATGGGATAATGGTTCTTGGTTTGTTTTCACTAGTCTAATATAAAACCCGTAAAATAGAGCGTATATGTGCTATTATGCATTAACAAACATACTACTAAGACATAAATAAAGTAAAATATGATTACTAAGATGCAGCAATGTTGACAATATTGCAGTAAGGCGCCTGCCTTGTGATTTTTGTTGTCTAGGTGATATCTTGACAATTATTGTTTGAAGATTGAACGAATACCCACAATTATACATCCCCTGATTGACATCATCCCTGCTATTAGTTTGGAGTAAGATACAGAACAAGGACAAGAAAGGTGTCTGAGATTAGGCCTGTAAATAGAGTGAATTCGAGCTGAACCATGCCATATATGAACTCGAACTCAATTACAAAAATTGCGGTTCAAATTCGATTTGATATTTGATGAATATTAAATATTTAAAACTAGCAATCAAATTCAATTTCAATTTAAGTAGTTGAACATTTGAATTTGATTCGATTCAAATTCAACCGATTACTTATAAGGTTCGCATCAACATTGGAATTTGAAAACCCTAACACAGAGAGGTGGAGGAAGCAAGAGTTGGGATTGAAAACTGGCCAAACAGATGAAAAAAATAGGGCACCATTTTGTCTTTGTTTTCAAAGAAATAAAACAGAATGATTCTCATTGATGAATGGAAAAAATAACAAACAATGAGGGGAATAATGGTTAAGAGAAGAACAGTGAACATGCCTGATATGAAAAGGTTTGTCCATAGTTTGGTAGGAGGAGCTGTGGTTGTAGTTTGCACTTTGCAGAAATGCTTGGAGGAGGATCAAAAGGAAGCTCATAGAAGTTCTCAGAGGAAGAATGAAAACGAGGCTTGAGAATAGCCTTCTTAAGCCACAAGGTGTCTCTGCGGCCATGCCATAGTTTTCAAGGCACCAAGGCGAGGCTAGGTGACAGGGGGGCGTGTTGTCGCCTAGTTGCCTAGGCGGTGGATTTTTTTTTTTTTTTTAAGTAAAGCCATATATCCCAGGGTTGTTCCGTAGGTTCTATAACCATCTTTCATTCTTTCCTTAATAATTATCCATAATTTTCATAAGAGAAGTATAAATTTCATGTTTATGTCTAGAGAAAATCAACATTTTATGAGAAGAAAAAGAACAAAGGAAAGAAAATTCAAAAAATATAGGGGCTGAACCCCTACTTTTGTTATAGGAAAAGAAGCAAAGAAAAGGTGGAAGAAGAAAATGTGTTGATTAGACAAAATTTTAAGTTCCTCCCTTGCTTATTGGTTCAGGTTTTGAAATCTTCGAGGGTTCAATCAAGGATCAAAATTTCGATACGATACGCCCCGTATCGGGTGTATTGTATTTTGGGGTCCCAATAATACACTTGTTTATAGGTGTTTTCAGGGACCAATTTTTTTAAAATAATATATATATATATATATATAATGAAATTGAAAACCAAATAAATAAAAAAATAAAGGGAGTATCGTTATAAGTACCAATACACCTCTGCTGATACACAGAGGTGTATCGTTACTTTGAACCATGGGTTCAATGGTTCAATACAGCAGTTAGCAATGTTTACGTTGATTAAACCCTAACAAATAAGAAAATAATAAAAAGAAATTAGTATATAAACACATAAAATGGATATTCTACTTGAATAATGTCTATTTTATAATTATAATGTCAAAAAATTAAAAATAAAAAGGTATTTCATAACACAGTGCACAAAACTGCTTGGCAACTGGGCGAGAAGAGCCTCCAAGGGTGCCTTGTCACCTAGGCGTCGCCTAGGTGCCCGCCTTGACAACTATGGGCCATGCGATTGCTCTCATTGCCATGCCTCTATTTACTCCCTATTTCCTCTTAATAACAAAGAGAGTGAAGATGCGATGGTTATAGAAATAATAAAAGAAAAATAAATAAGGCAGCTGTTGTCTTGGGGAATGGGGATTACATTACACTGCTTTGTCTTTTATGGCTTGTAACCTTTTATTATAGGCTAGGCATAGCTGCTTAGGACACTTGATACAGTGCATGGGGATTAGTTTTGATAATTATTATATATTATATTTATGTTTTAATTGAATTCAAATATTTATCGAATTGAATCAACATATATTTGAATTCAACCATTTAAATAATTGAACTATCTGAGTTCAATTCGATTCCATTGGATCTCGAATACAAAATCAGATAATCGAATTCTGTTTATGCCCCTATCTGAGAATTTGAGATGAACCATATGATCTTTTTTCTTTCAATATTTCTTTCTTTCTTTTAGTAGGATTTAGGGTTATTTCTGATAATCTAAGGTGGTTGTGATCCTATCATCTTTCTTGAATTGTTTCCAAATACGTTTTATGATTGAGAGGTTATCTATTAGTTATACTGAGGTGACCATCTCCTGTCCATGAGAAGTTTTAGATACTGAGGAACATTGGAATCTGGTTTTGATTATTTTTACTTATTTATACCAGCATTTTATGATGTATTTTTTGACCAGTAGTTACACTACTTGGTGAAGTAGCCACCACATTTGTTGTATGTGGCCACTTAGGTGGGGTGGCAATCTAACATAGGTCTCCATGAATCACATTTCAAAGGGTCATTACTCAATGATACTGATCTAATTATTGCCATTTTTCTTTCGTTCTTTTTTTTTATTGGCACCAAGTAGCCACTATCAGACCAAAACCCACGTTCTCATACTTGTTAGCCCAAGATTTTACTGTTACATCACCCAATGTCCTCTGTGGCTGTGGATCACACTTCCTCATATGAAATTTCTTCTGCTGTCATTTGGAGGGAAGACGGGGGGGTTTAAAGCTAAAATAGGTTTTGTGGTTATAAGTTATAACATGTCCAGCCTGGAAGGTCTTATGAAACTGTCTTGATTGGTCATCTCATCCCCCTACATGACTATCAAAAGGTGGGCTGCCTAATGAAGATGGCCATAAGGCCAGTTTGGAAAATATCCAGAGATTGAATAATGCTTCAAATCTTCAATGGGCCAACTATTTTACCTTTATGGTTGTGACATCAGTAATTTTGTCCTTTTTTTTGGGGGGGAGGGCAGGGGGCGGGTATTATACTGTGCAAATAATCTATCTTGTGAACCTGTTTTGTCTAGATAATATGCCTTTCTCTATTCAAATTCAAAATTTGTCATGCATTCTATTGTTTCATTTTCAGATATTGCATTTTTGTTTTTCCTTTCATTTATATGCTTCTACTTTAAGAGTTAGTATCCAAAGTTTTAGATAATCTATTTCATACCAGTGAATTAGTGTTACAATGAAATACTAAGCTACTTTTTCTTGGTTACCCTTACAATTTCCATCTCTTGATTACTGGCTCATAAATTTCAGTGGTTTAGATTTTAAGGAGCCAAGTTTCTAGTTTAGTCTGTTTTTAATATGGAAAAAATTTCTTTTCTTTCTTTCTTGTTTTTTTATTTATTGTTTTGAAGTGTGTATGAGTGATGGCTATTAGTGTGAAAGGGTTAGTGGTGGATAGTAAGTGCAGATGACCAAGGTTCAAGGGGAGCCATAGTTAAATTTATGTCTTTTGTAACTGCGTAAGTGACTACTTGGGCATTGTACTATGTTAACTATATAGATTGAAAGCTTACAATGTACAGGAACTAGTCTTTAACATAACCATATCTGAACTCCAGAGTAAATAAAATTTCTTCCGCATTTCATTCAACAGAAAGATGGTGTTTTTTCTTTTTTTTTTTTTGGGGGGGGGACACATTCAAGAAAATGTAGACTGTACAAAGTATTGAAAGGATAAAGGAAAATGAATGGAAAATCAATTCCCCTCTTTATTTAGAAGCATCACTTATGACTTTAGTCCTACATATTTATGGACTTTCTTGCAGGGTGGAGATCTGAGATATTGCCAGAAATGTTCCCATTTTAAGCCACCCCGTGCACATCATTGTCGCATTTGTAAAAGATGTGTTCTGCGAATGGTATGTATGAGCTACACAGTAACTACTGCCTTTTTGTCTCAAATCTTTCTGGATCATATGGTAAAGAGATGGTCCTTCTCTTGAATACAGGACCACCACTGCATCTGGATAAATAATTGTGTGGGCCATGCAAACTATAAGGTTTTCTTTGTCTTTGTATTCTATGCTGTAATCTCATGCATTCATGCACTGGTATGTTTTTTAACCAATTGGTATAGGGATTTTTCTTTGTGATTTGTGACTTTTCTGTCTAGATATCATGGGCCAACAGCCTATGCTGTATCAAAAAATAATACATGTTCTGTTACCAGGTTTTACTTTTTGGAAGTTTTGTCCAGGATGCTCAGAAGGATGAGGAGCAGATCAGAGATTCCACCAGAACCATTTATGTAAGTAGTAGTTACAATGCCCGGGGTTTTAAAGTGATACATCAAACTTATTCATCAAAAAAAACGTGATACGTCAAACTTAAAAAATAAAATGTTATATCTGTCAATATTTTGGCTTTGCAGATCATTTCTGGACTTCTGCTTGTCCCTTTGTCTGTGGCCTTAAGCATTCTCTTGGGTTGGCATATATATCTTATTTTGTGGAATAAGACAACAATTGAGGTTTGAAGAAATTTATAGAATACAGTTAGGTTACTGTTTTTCTTTCTGCTGATCACGTTGGTTAAGGATCCTTTTCTCTGCATTTGTTGGTTATTTCCTATTGCAGTATCATGAAGGAGTGAGAGCAATGTGGCTTGCAGAAAAGGTTGGCAATGTCTATCAGCATCCATATGACCTTGGTCCCTATGAGAATCTAACATCAGTAAGAACATTGTTCTTTATGCTTTCTTCATTATTGCATGGGTTTTCTGATGTCCCAAAGAAACTTCTGGCTTGTGAGCTTATGAGCTTATAGCCTATTGGGGGGTGTGTATCATTTTCATGCTTCCACCACCATCTGCATGTCTGTCCCTTCATTGTCTAACAATAACCTTGTTAGCTGGAATGCATTTAATCATGGCCAGTGGTCTGTCGTGAAAGACCGTGCATATTACCAACACATAAAAGCATGTCATGAGAGATAGTGTTGGATGTCAGATTAGTGTTTTCTTGCAATCTAGAGCTGTCTTATGGGTATGGGTGTCTATCGAGTTTGTAAATGTCATTGACCAGATTGCAACTTATTCTTACTTTCAATGTAAAATGGGTTTTGTGTGATCTCTCCCCAGGTGTTGGGTCCAAACATATTCACTTGGCTGTGCCCCACGGCAAGACATATTGGTTCAGGTCTACGGTTCCGAACAGTCTACGACAAGATGGTCTCTGCATCAACCATGAGATAACGTTTCAAATGGCTTAGTTTCGGTTTGTTACAAGCTATTCTATACTCAAGCGGGAGACGAGGGAGGCCCTTGTTCATCAATAGACAAATGTAAGGTGGTCTTTTTCAACCTGCCCAGCATGTAAATTATTTTCTGGGTATCTCGTGATTGTAATGAAATCAAACGAGGTCCCTTGTTCATCATCATAACCCAACATCCAAAGCCATTGTTTTTTGTAGCTGTTACACGCACAGATTAGGTCTTTTGATTTATGAAGCTGTTACAGGCATTGGGACATAGAGAGCATGCAAATGATGTAATTGTCTGACTTAATATGTGAAAAGGGAATTGTTTTACATTTACTAGCTTATTTATCAAGAAAAGGGGAGCCAAAGGAAGAGAAAAATGGAGTGAATTGCGTTCCACATAAAGAGACAGGCTTGTCATTTTTGTAAAATTTACCTTGAGGTTGTAACTGTAAGTACAACATTAAATAATAAAACCATGTGATTCTTTTTCTTTCTTTTATCTCTTATAATTGATTGCTTGCTGCCCTCAATATTCTCGTTCTTTGGTTAATGGATTCTACTTTCTTTGAGCAGAAAAGAGGAGCTTATATTATATTAACTAAATGATACAATGCGTCGACTCCAGAGTCCAGAGTAATCATGGGCCAAAATCATGATTTACTGCAGTCTAGACGCCTGGTGAACCAAAATCATGGGCCAGTAAATTGTTGTCTGATTACATATACAAACTTCACCAAGTCAACTTACAAAATATGATATTTGATCTATATACAATTGGTCCTGCTAGTTATGATTCTTTAAAAGGCTTTGGTCTCCTGGTGATAATTGAGCATATGCAAAAAATTTAACCTTACGTTCCGAAAACACAATCTCAGCCCTGCATGAATTCCTATGCGTTCAGTATCTTGTGCATTGCTTGCTTTACATTTGCCTGCTGCTGCAAAGACAAATTCTTGATTATTAGAGAATAAGAACTATCGGAGGGCTTCAGCGTTGATTGAGCTGTGTTGAGAGCATTTTCCGAGAAGCTACCAAAAATAGCTTATTGGAAAGTCGATTTCGATTTCTTGGCTGATGCAAGTGTTTCTGAATTCTTGGGGTTTTGACCAAAACATAGTTTTTACCTTACAATGCTAGAAGCCGCTGCGTCTTCACATCTGTGCCCCACGAGAGGGTTTCCCATAACGTCCCACAGCATTGGAAATATGATGATGTCATCATCAGGAGATATTCTGCTGTGGGGTGTTGTGGGGCACAGATTTGAACTCCCTCAGGCCATTTTAGATTTTTCCTAGTATGAATCTAAAGTATGGGCTAAAAACATTGGATGGTTAGACCCACAGTCATGGGCTATTACTAAGGCCCAATAGATCGTTGACGTTTCTGTCCCACATAGAAACACTGTCAGGAAAATGGAGAAATACATAAATTGCAATTTCTATCACCCACGTCATCCTTCTAACTTGTACTTTGTAGTCGGGGTCTGAAATCCATCAATTGCAACTTCTTGCACATGGAAGGATTTAGGACCCCTGATCAGACCGAACGTCGTAAATTATGTTTGCCAATATAGTGGAAGGTTGCACATGGAAGGATCAGGATCCCATTATCAGACTGCCCCAAATAAAGTGGTTTCATGCCAGAAGCCAGCATGATGAAATGGATTTTAATCATCCATTTCGTGCATTCAGCTCCTGAGCGTCCGTTTGGTTTGTAGTTGGAATCGGAATCAAAATCTTACGAAATTAGAATCGAAATAATCTATTCCCATAGTCTGTTTGGTTCAGATAGGAATGAGAATGGGAATTAAAATCAGTAGGAATGAGATTTTATTCCTAAGGGAGGGGCAGGGAATAGCTATTCCCTCAAATAGGGGAATGCCATTCCAGCAGCAATTCTGCCCAACTAAATAATTAATCGGAATAGCCCATTTCGATTCTGATTCCAGACCCTAATTATTAAGAACCAAACCAGGCCTAAGAGTTTTGCAATGCTTTCTTTCTCTATTGTGTGATGTACTTCAAGTGTTATGTCAAATGCAATTTAATTGTTTGGATAAATTTCTTAAATTATCCTTATGATTTAGCTAATTGAATAAATATACCCCTGGTGTTTCAGTTACTGGCACCGTTCCGTAAAATTGCATCGTCATAAAATAGTGATGGAATGGCTGAAATATCTATTTTGCCCTTTTAAGTCAAATTACTCTTTTGAGCTTCGTTATGGATTTCATCAACAGATTCAACACGTTACGAAACGTTTCCTTTTGGTTCTTCCCCCGAAATGGGGTTTTCCTGAGTGACACCAATCGACGATGAACTCATGCCCATCACCTCTTATGACCTTGTGTTACGGTTCAGCACAGGCTTAGCCTTGCCTACGCTTGGCAGGCTTACGTTAGGGACATGCCCGTCATTTTCGCCTGTAAGATTTTTGGGAGAACTGATGTCTTCTTTAGGCAGACCACCAGAAGCTTAACGTACTCTTTGAGGAGGGGTGGTCGACCTCCTTGGGTGCCTAA